TTTTATGTTTTTTTCCTATTTGTCCACAACTGTTGCTTGCTTATGTTGCAATTGGAATTTTTCTGCTATTTCTTGTACACTGTGATTAAGTTCACAATCATATACAAGAAGTATGTCCAGAAACTGGAATTTATTTCTGTTTTCTGGTTTTGTACAGTGATTATGTTCAGAAGCTGAAAGTTAATGGCTTTCTGTTTTAATGTTTGTTTTTTTCTATGTTTATGTTTAGATACTCAAAAGTGTCTTTTTGTTTTAGGGAGTATGGCTTCAGTGGTTGCTAGTAGTGGGTCCTCAGCTTCCTGTGAAGACGACACAAGCAAACCTCTTTGGAGGTATGTTTCAAGATCTGAAAAGCCACGTGATGGAGGAGGAAATATTTTGTGGCAATGCAATTTTTGCAATCAAACAAGTAAAAGCTCATACACTAGGGTAAGGGCTCATTTGCTGAAATTGTCTGGTTGGGGGAATAGAGCTGTCTGAAAGTTACAAGCCAAGATATTGCAGATATGTTTGACTTAGAGGAGATAGCCAATGAGAAATTGGGAATAAATGCACCAAAGAGAGTTCTATGGGGCCCCTCTAGTGAGTCATTGGCTGCTAGTATGGATATTTTTGCTCAAGAAGGTTATGATTCGAAGAAAAGAAAGGCAAGCATAAGTGGAACTGGAAGTGAAAAGGGAAGTACTGCTGCTATTGAGAAGACATTAAACTCGAAGACTCATGATCAGTTACATGCGATGATTGATAGGATGTTCTATTCTGCTGGCTTACCATTTCAACTTGCAAGGAACCCGCATTTTGTGAGCGCCTTTACATTTGCTGTGAATAATCATCTTTCAGGTTATTTGACTCCGGGGTATGATTTGTTGATGACAAAATTACTTCAACAAGAAAAGGAAAATGTTGAGAGATTGTTACAACCAATCAAGAGTACATGGAAAGAAAAAGGTGTAAGCATTGTGAGCGATGGATGGAGTGACTCACATGGGAGGGCCTTGATTAATTTTATGGCGGTGACGGAAGATGGGCCTGTGTTCCTTAAAGCCGTGGATTGTTCTAGTGCAACTAAGGACAAGTTCTTTATTTTTACTTTGATAAAAGAAGTGATTCAAAAGGTGGGTAAAGAGAACGTGATTCAAGTGATCACCGATAAAACTAAGAATTGTCAGGGGGCTGGACTTCTTATCGAAGGAGTATATCCCAATATCGTATGGACATCATGTGTTGTTCACACACTCAATCTTGCTTTGCAAGACATTTGTGCGCCAAAGAATTTTGAAAATAATCGAGTAAGTTATGATCAGTGTTGTTGGATCACACATATTATGGATGATGTTGTGTTCTTAAAGAATTTCATCATGAACAACTCCTTGAGGGTGTTAATTTTTCATGAATTTATCCCTTTGAAGTTATTTTCCGTTGCAAGTACACGTTTTGCTGCAGAAGTCGTAATGCTCAAGAGATTTAAACTCATAAAAGATAGTTTTCAAGCCATGGTTATGAGTGCAAGATGGAGTGACTATGGAGAGGATGATGTAGAGGGAGCTAAAATTGTCCTAAGCTTTTGTCCTAGGCTTTTTTTCCTCTAACTCAAACTAATTCTTGATGCTTATTAGTTATTTTCTTATTTAAGGTATTATAGTGATCAATGGCTTGAAGAAATCCCTAATCGAGTCCCTCCACACAAAAATGTGGAGGTTGCTCGAGAAAGATTGAAATGCATGATAAAATATTTTCCTCATCCAAAGGACCGCAAAAAGGCAAATATGGAATTTGATGATTTCTCAACTATGGCGGGAGATTTTGGGGATTGTGATTCAATTCGTAATCGCTACGAAATGGATCCCAAAAATTGGTAGGTCATTTATGGTGCAAATGTGTCTTTGCTTCAAGGATTAGCTTTAAAGCTACTTGTACAACCATCTTCTTCTTCATCATGTAGTGAGAGGAATTAGAGTACTTATTCTTTTGTGCACTCTTTGAGAAGAAATGGGATGACATCATCAAGTGCCGAAGACTTACTTTTCGTTCATTGCAATCTCCGCCTTTTGTCAAGAAGAACCCCATAGTACACGCAAGGAGAAACTCAGATGTGGGATGTTGCCGGTGATGCTTTTGATTCTTTTGGGAATGTTGGAGAGCTTGAGATTGCACAACTCTCACTTGATGAGCCAGAATTGGAGGCCATGGTCTTTTACTGATCAGGGTGATGGAGGTGATACTAGTGATGAGGCAATTGAAGTTGAACCATGATGGTTGAAATGAAACTTTTTTTTAGGGGAAGGACAACCGTTTGTTTTAGTTTATGATAAAAAGCTTTTTAAATGTTTATTAACAAATGGTGGGGATAGAAAAATTTATTTATGTATTATTCAGTGTCTGCCCTATTTTTGTGGTGAAGGCCTGCAAGATAATGAATCCAAAGGTCATTTGGAGCATCAACTATTCCACTTAGAGCAACTCCAATAATGTTATCTAAAATAATTATTTAAAATAAATTTAAATATTATATTATCTACTTTAATTAATCACTTTTTCAAATTCACTTCAACATCATTATCTATTTTAACTAACAATTTCAACTAATTTTAACTAACTTTCAATGATAAAATTTAAAAAATAACAATTTAACTATACATTATACAAATTTAATCAATTATGAACTACAAAAGTAAATATCATAGGGGTTTTGCTGAATTTTGAGGTCTTGTTGGATTTTTAGGGAATTTTATTGGATTTTTGGAGAGTTTTGTTGAATTTTTGAAGAATTTTATTGAATTTTCGGAAAATTTTATTGAATTTTTCAAGAGATTTTGCTGCATTTTTTGAGGTTTTACTAGAAATTTGACGATAAATCCTCTCAAATCAAAACCCTCTCAATCGGTGGAGCATTGCCTTTGCCTTCAGTTGGTGGAGCTTTGCCTTCAATCTTCAGTCGGTGGAGCAAGCCTTCTGTGATGGGGGTGTTGTTGGCGCAAAAACAAAATAGCTAACTGTTTTGTCTCGCCAGGATAACCAATCAAATGAAAGCTATAGAAAATAACTAATATGATAGCTAACCTGTTAAAGACAAGATTTAAGATATACCTATATAAAATTACTAAAAAGACTGATTTATTGAGGCTCTTGGAACAATTTACTTTCTTGTAGAGCATTTTACAGGGTATGCAATATTTGAAAATTGTCGTTGATGCCTTTTTATATTCTTTTTTTTTTTTTTCCCTTTGCTTGTCAGATTTTTTGTTGGCCTGCTTCAGCAGTCTTGATGTCCCAAAAGCACAACGCCATTGTCGCCACAGGCTTACTAGCTTTTGCAGCTGCAGGCTTAGCATTTCCTTTATACATGGCGTGAGTAAGTATTTGCTCACTAATAATATCAAGAATTATCGGTTCTTAACAGTCTGCTATGTCTTCATTGCAGTTACAATGTTACGCTCGTTCCATCCAGATCCAGTTCAACAAAAATGAAGCCACTGACTGATTCATCAAAGCTGCTACGATCTCAGGCAACTTTTCGAGTACCTTGTGTGCGGGCAAGATCCTGCACGATAAAAAACGAGAACAGATCTCTCCCCTAGTGAACAGCGAGTGTGCCGGTTGAGTGGCCTAGCACACTACTTGGAACAACCTGTAAGGTACGATGATAACCTGGAACGGCAACGGGAGATCCTGGGAAAGGAAGGACGATCCTGTGAAGCTGAAAGGAGTTCCTGGAACAAAGAAGAACACGTTAGAAGGGCGCCGGAGTGTTTTCCGGTGTATTCCCTCCGACGGTCTAGTCAGTCTTTGAGTGAGAGAGAGGAAGGAGAAAACACTGAGAAAAATGTATTGTAGAGAGTTTGTGATTGCCTACCCGCTTCGCCTTTTGGGAGGAGTATTTATACCTAAAAACTCATGATTGCTGTCAGTGTGGTCAGTAGGTAATCATTAGGCACAGGTAGTGTGTGTATTGATTTTGATGAGGAATGTCTTCTCTAATTGACTGCTCGAAGTCCCGAGCAATTAATGTCGAGTCGTCGGGATGTCGACGGTACAATATGCTCCTCTCGGGGAGGATGCAATAAATGCTCTGTAATAGGAGCATTTATTGCCTTTCGCTTCCGAGCCTTACCGCATTGAATGCGATCTCATCAAGGGAATGGTGCAATTAATTATTTACTTTCCCAAATCGCGTGTCAACAACAGCATGCGATTTGTCTGTCTTTGATGTGATATCATATGCTACGCGTCCATCACGTATTTGCTATGACCTCTGTATTCCAGTATGTTCTGACATTACTTGTGCAAGACGAGGTCATGATGAATAGTCTAGACTGGCATAGGCTGATAACCTGTACGTCAGTAGCTTTATCCTGGAATAGATAAAACGTCTAGGACGAGGTAACTCTCGACACCGAAAAAAAGCTCACCTCGGGGACCGAGGATGGTATGTTTCCGAGGTACATAAGGACCGAGGACACGTGTTGTTGTACAATATACCAAATACATGATCCTATATGAGAGGTACCTCAGGGGAGAGGACATTTATTGCCGATGGTGCTTAAATCCAAGCAACACTGTTCTAACGAACTGAGAACACGTGTCTTCATCATAGAGCTTTTCAGAAAAGTCCCATCACCTTGTATCAATACTGGTTCACATCTCGTTGGACCTTACATTATGATAATCAAGTACTGTAGGTTCTATACTTAGCAAGATCTGCTGTAATACTGCTGATTGGTTATATCAAGATTCACTGGACTTGTTCTTGAATTGAATTTCTCACAGAAAAGCAAAGATCGGAGCTTCTTAAGTCACAGGGAATAACGACAATGTCAATAACAATCTTCATTCTAAGTTTAAACTGGTTCTCTATCATATATCGGTAATAGATATCACAAAATACATCCAAAATGTCAAACACCACATTTAAACCACTAACCCAAAATATTAATCATCCAGAGATTACAAAAGTAAGAAAATTTTCACAAAAACCCACCACCCAGAAACAGACCCAAATCCTAAGAACTAGTAAACTTGGTGACGGCCTTAGTTCCCTCAGAAACAGCATGTTTAGCCAACTCACCAGGCAAAACCAACCTCACTGCAGTCTGAATCTCCCTAGAAGTAATCGTGGGTTTCTTGTTATACCTCGCGAGTTTCGAAGACTCCTGAGCAAGCTTCTCGAAAATGTCATTGATGAAGCTGTTCATAATCACCATGGCCTTGCTCGAAACCCCAATGTCAGGGTGGACTTGCTTCAGAACCTTGAAGATGTACATCTTGTATGTCTCAGAGCTCCTCTTCACCCTCTTCTTTTTCTTATCTCCGGCAGCCGCTGCACCACCGTCTTTGGGCAGCTTCTTCCCGGCTTTGGGCTTCTTCTCCGCCGCCGGAGCCTTCTCAGCCACCATGGTCTTCTTCTCCTCCGCCGGTTTCTTCTCGGCTGGCTTCTTCTCAGCTTTGGGTGCCATATCTGATAGTTTTGGAGGTAAAAGAGTTCACAGAGAGAGAGAGAGTTTTGCAGAGAAATGAACGGATTCGATTGTTTGAATTGCGAGGTAATTCGGGAACGAAAGGTTGGGATTTATTTATATAGTTTGGAGGCGAGATTTGATTGGTGGGTTGGAGTGCCGTGGATCGTGGATTTGGGCCGTCGATAAAAGTGGGAAGGACGGTGCAGATTTCGTTTGCAGATATACTGCTTACGCTTGTGGTAGTTTTTTATTGGGTCGTTTAGTTTGACGCGGATTTTGGATATGGAGCATCGATGAAAATCGGAACGGACGGTAAAGATTAGGATTTTGGGTTCTGTGGAAATCGATGCGCAAGTATTGACTTTTCGTGTTTGGCGGGTTTGAGGGCAGTGCTACAGTAACGGGCGGGATGGATTGAAGTTTTTCCACGTTGTACTCCGAAAAATTTTAAATTATTATTTTAAAGTTTTAAAAATTAATTTTTCTATATTACACAATTTATATATTAAAAATCTATATAATAAGATAGCTAGCTGTTTAAACTTATGAGGGGTATATTTTTTCCCCAAATTTCACACACTTTTCCTCCCAAATTTCCCAAACCTAACACAAATATTCTACAGCACATAGTTACACATACTCCAGTACACACTCACTACACATACACATACACATTATATATACACTCCAGCTGTACACACACATTCCAATACACACATAGTGTCATAGTTTAATATTTAATGACTTCAGTCACGGGGTATCACTAATATTACAATAAGACACTTGTGTTAGTTTTTATTATTTTTTTGTTCAAAATTAACCCTTTGACACTGACAAAAAAAAAATTATATCGTAATATTGATACATAAAAATGTAATATAAAAAATTTAATTTTTGAGAATATAAAATAAAAAATTTAAAAACTTGTAAGCTACAAAGTGAAATTGACCCATTGGAATATAAGGTTTACGTGGCAAATGAAATCTCAAAACAGTTTGGTCCACTTTACTATGCATGCAATAGTGGGGTGCGTGACGTGTGTATTAGGTGAGGAACAAAAATTTTGTTTTGGTGATTTATTTTAATTATTAAAAAATAAAAAATATTTTAAAAATATAATATAAATAAATAAATTTAAAATTTATTTTTAAAATATTTCAAAACGTTAATCAAAATATTAAAAAACTAGTTATTTTTTGTACCTAAAGATACAGAATAATAATAAAAAATAGTTAATAATAAATATATTTGTATTTACGCACAAAATCAAATCACAAACATAAAGGAGAGAGGACAAAATTTAAACACCAATTATACTGGGGGTAAGTGGTGGTAATGGTGATAGGCGACAATGAAAGTGGTAGAAGACAGTGATGGTTGTGATTGGTGGTGACGACCTTGATGATAGTTGTAGTCGTGGGGTGACAATGGTGATGATGGTGGATTTTTGGTGACGATGGTGGTAATGGTAGTCATAGGTGATGGTGATAATGATGGTGGTTATCAGTTGCGATGATGGGGCGACGACGGTAGTAGTGTTGGATGACAGTGGCTAGCGACGATGGTAGGCGACAACGGATGATGATGGGTCATGGTAGTGAGTGGGGGTGGGTGCTGAAAGTGGGCGACGTGGTAGTGGAATGATGGTGGTAGGTGGTGACGATGGACAACGATGGTAGCAATTGATGGTAGGGGGCAATGGGGGTGATAGTGAGACAGTGACGGTGGTGATGGGGGTGGCGACGATGGTGGGTGGCAGCAGTGGTGGTGATAGTGGGATGACAACGGTGGTGGTGGTAGTAGTCGTGGCGTAGGGGTAAGGCAATGGGGGGTGGTAGGACAGTGGCGGGTAGTGGAAGGGTATTAGCAGCGATGGTGGTGGTTGTGGTGATAGCGGTGGTAATGGTGGTTAGGTGATGGCAACGATGGTGGTGGTGGGAGTAGTGGTGATGATGGTGAAGGGTGAGGGGGGTTAAGTGGGTGATGGGGGGTAGGGTGGTGGTGGTGGTGGTATGGTGGGGGTGGAGGTGGAGGTAATGACATGGTGACAATACTGGTAGTGATGGTGTGGTGGTGGAGCGGTGGGGGTGGCTGTAATAATTGTGGTGGTTGAGGGATGGTCATAAACACTACTTTTTTTTTTAAAGTAAATATGAAAAATTATAAATTTTAGAGATACTTTTAAAAAGTCATCCCAAACACACATTTAAGGACTTATTTTTTCTATTAAATTTGGAGTGTTAATAATAGTCGTCGGATTAATTTTAAAATAAAATTTAAAGAGATCTCAACCGTAAAAAATAAAAGTCATTTTTTTATCTTTTAAAATTTGAATTGTATTGCATTTTATTATATAAATATCTTAAAATACCGATGAAAATAGAATCACATATTCACCTTCATGTTTAAAATAAACTTATCATATTCTTTTCTATTTCAACATTTGCCTTTCAGTTTTGTTGGTTCAAATTCAATTAAATGATAATTTTGATATTGTATCATAGTAGAACATCTTACGTTCGGATTTCATCCTCACCTGATAATTATAAGGATGGTTACTGGATCCAAACATTAAACCCTCTATTTCACGATTGTGCTCTATTTTGCTTCTATTATATTTCTAATCTTTTCTTCTAACAACTCTTAATTTTTTTTGTGTTCTTTCAAACATGTCATACAATATTTATATAATAAAGTATAGTACAATTCAAATCTCAAAAAATAAATAAAATAATTTTTATTTTTATGGTTGAGTTCTCTTTAAATTTTACTTTAAAATTAATTCGATGATTAATATTAACACTCCAAATGTTCTATGACTTATAATTAATAATAAATACTTTTAAAAAAAATAGTGTTTGGATCCGTCTCACCACCACCACTACTCCCACCACCATCACTGCTACCACCACTACTATCACTGTCGCCACCCAACCATTATCTCTACCACAACAACCACCATCGCTGCCACTACCCCACAACTATCATTATTACCATCATTGTCACTGTTACTACAACTAGCACCACCTCATCACCACCACCACTCTCATAGTCCCACCATCACCACCACCACTACTACCATTGCTCTCGCCACCCAATCACCACCGTCATTGTCCCACCATCACCTCCACCACCATGACCTTCACCACCCCATTACTGATTATTACTATCGTCATCCACCGTCGCCACCCACCACCATGGACATCTCATTTTTATACCTATTACTACTACTACCATCGTCCCACAACCACTGTCTCCCACCATTAGCACCCACCACCACCATTATTGTTCACTCCCACAGCCCACCATCATTGTCGTCGCCCATCATCGTCGTCAGCCCCTATCACACCTACCACCACCCGTCAACACCCACCATCACCGTCACCACACCTACCACTACCAATATCACCACCAATACTATCGTCATTTGCCACTATTCATCACATTATCGCTTAGAAACACCTATCATCGCTCATCATCAACATCAACATCGTCAGCGCCCACCACTGCCACTGCCATCGTCATCACCCCACCACCACACTACCAACCACCATCACCATCGCCCACCACCGTCACTTATGATTGACACTACCACCATTATCACCCAAAACTTACCACCACCAACACTGTTGCCACCTATGGCTGTTACTGCCGTCACGGTCGTCGCTATTCACCACCACCATCACCATCATCACCACTACCACTGCTCACCCCACATTACAATCGATTCTTAAATTTATTTCTTTCTCTTTTATATTTGTGATTTAATTTTGAATGTGAATATATTTATTATTGACCATTTTTTTCTATTATTCTATGACTCTTTATACGGGCAATAATCAGTAATTTAATCCAAAAAATTAGTATCAATAAAGCTGGCCAGCTACTGCCAACTTCTTGTGAACAGGCCAAGTCATTCTAGGAAACTCTGTACACCTACAAATGTGAACTCCTCTTGACCAAGACATGACTCCGTATGAGCTTGAAGTTTTCGTCCAATATCAAAGTTCGCAGAGCGTCTTTCTTCGCTGGTTGTCGCCAAGAAGTCTTTTACTCTAAGGCCTATATTTATAACTCTTTTGAATGATGCATTTGTTATTGTACAATCTAGAACAACTGTAAGTCAGGAAATTGTAAATCTAGTCCTAGACCTAACACTAACAACCTTAATGTCTTTTTGATGAGATGATAGTTTAAGGATGGCTGTTTTAGCTTGTTCCTTGACACGAGGAACTCCAAAACAGTACAAACATAGACAAAACCTTCAAAACAAGGTACATATATATATATATATATATATCAGACGAAAATTTACAACAAACATGAGGAACTCTCAGTGATCCATTTCATTACATCTTCAACTATCATGATCTAACTGCATTGCACTGCAACTTGATCAACTTTTCCCACTTTGCTCATGCAATTAACTGCTGGGGTGTGCCCAACGAACAAAGCAACATGACCCATAAGCTTATCTTTCCTAGAAAAAGTTGTTCCACATGAACACTGCCATTTCAGATCGCCACAGTGCTTTTCATGTGTCCTCAAATCAGACAGCACCGAGAACTGTTTCCGATTGCATCTCTTGCAGACATACATCTTCGGGCAATGGCTCCGCTTGTAGTGATTCTTCACACAGATCATAGACTTCAATGGCTGAAACTTTGCGTGCTTTCTGTTCCACCTGCAACCTTCTTGAGGACATGAATATTTTCTCGGCAATTTTCCGGGGAAATCTGGGTTTCCACTTGAATTTCCATTGTTCTTCATAGGGTTGCTCAGAGCTGCACTGGATTTGTATTCATCCCCATGAGCTCTCATGTGCATCCTCAGATTAGCGTCCCTCTTGAACCCTTTTCCACAAACTTGGCAATAATGTGTGTACTTTGCCAATAAATCTGCAGCATCCAATTCTATGATATCATAGTTTTTTGGAGAAGAAAGCCCTTCATTATTCTCTCTCCTCCCACCCAATTCCCTTCTCTCCACTTCATCAG